TGTTTAATGTTATTTATTGTTTTTTTCAAATCATCATACTGGCATGTTAGATAAATTTAAAAATGAGGTTTTGAAAAAATCCGTAAGACTTGAAAAAGTCCATGAGAATACCCTGTACATCAGTATACCTGCAAAATGATGTAAAATCCTTATAACTTACGGACAAGCCACGCAAGTTGATATGTACAGTATGTTGCTATTTATTTGCTTTCTGGGAACGCAAATAAATCTAAGTTTACCATAGTGCCTTACACTGTCAAACTTGTTTTTAGGGGTTCAAATTGGGGTGGGTGGGACCTAGTTCGGGGGAGGGGGGCTGCGCTTCAACTCGCCTAGGGCACCAAAATGGCTAGAGCCAGCACTGCAGAAGGACGTAGGTGTGCCTCGGGCAGCTGAAACGGATCAGTGTAACATCTCACATTTAGATGTTTTTCTGTTTAGRAACACTTGATTTGAATGAGTGACCAACAGGCCCCTACAGAAAATGAAGGCATGTTTAAAAGCTGTGAAACAACTAAAACATGCAGTCACGTAGAACCAAGCACMAGGATTGGGCACCGCTGCTGCAAACCAATGSTTACYCAACACTTTTATGTTTAACCCACCCATAAAATAAAAGCTGCAGAGACTCATGAACCTAGCTACTGCAAACAATAAACAGCCTGTCTTGCACTAACAACAACTGTCATCCTTTGTATAAASCAGGAGAATAAGTTTGCAGCCTATAAATGTTTCAGATTAATAAAAGCAACATAGTAGCTTATCTGCTGTAAACCTATTATTCGTTTTATTTTATTTCCAGTTCCATTYAAAATAAATTGATTCAAATCATTCCAGGGAAATTGGTTTGTTTTAGTTGTTTTTTCAGTTGCTAAAGYGCTGACTCACTTTCCTCTTGTTTTGACAAGATTTAGCAGACTAAAACTATACGCCTACATATCCCATTAGTTTCACTTATAACAACCGTGGGAAAGAAAACAGTAGTTTTTTTGAATCACATGCCATTACATGCCCGTTTTTTTAACTTTTTCACGTTACCAATAGCATGATGAATATATTGGGAGGAATAAAAGGGCCAGCATGGGGCAATGAGAAACTAAAGAAGAAAAAGTCACATTTTCTACATGCTTAAACAAGAAGACTGATGCTGAGAAACAAAGGTGGACTTCTACCAATGTTTGTATATTGTTATTACTGAAATAGTGATTTTAACATGGATTAGGATGCATGTCATTTAACTAAATATGGTTTATAACTATTTGCAAAGACATATTTGAAGTGCTGTTATATTAGGCTGTAGAGCCAGTATCATTACTCATTTTTAGTGCAATCTAAACTGCATATTTAGGAGGCAGGACTGAACCAGAATAAAGTCTGAAGACGTGACAGAAATGAAGGCGCTGAGCTAGTGCCATGTCAGCATGTGAGCAATCAAGCAGTTACACTGCAAATCTGAGAATGCTGTAATTACACTCATGCCCATCRTTAGACCTACAACACGCGCTGCCTCCTGCGTTTCTTGGAGAAACTTCAGAGATCTCAGACCTGCCGTCTGGGTGAAAGTTGGGGATGGCTGAGACAATAACTTTCACATGACTCTCACTAGCAGATAATTTACTKACCACCCACTGGGCTCCATCTAATCCCTTTGTGTCAGATGATCACAGCCCAGTTGCTGTTGCAAATCAACAAGTTCTGAAAGCAGAAGATAGATTGGTTTATTGTTTGCTTTTTAAATCTTTGGAGCCACAAATTGGTGGATTTACTTTTCCAGCTAAAGCATTAATGAATTTAAAATTTAACACTTTTTACCACTTGCCACCAAAGCCCATCACAATGGCTTTGCTTTGGCAAACTATCGTKGTATTAATATCAGTAATATCATTGGCATCAAACATGTCTGTTAGCAAAATATTTCACAAACTTACATCTAAAACTCAACATTAGTGAATCCCATTCAAGATGGCTGCCACAGCTAATCAGCCTCAGCCAACAGACATATTACTACAATGCAGTAGCGACCGGGGCTTTAGTTCGCTCATGTTGGCTTTGCTGTCATTGTTTTTCTGTTTAATTTGCTGACGGTGCAATAAATTCTGGGACGCCGTCGGCCGCTTAGCATACTCAGAT